AACACCGGATTATATATCTTACTGTTCTTATATATATATATATATATATATATATATATATATATATATATATATATATATATATATATATACACACAATACGAGGCAAAAAAATGGACGCACCCATAGGAAGTCGATTTTTGTATTTTTACCAAGACAAGTGAGTAATAGAATTCGTTTATTAATACAGGGAATTAGTGGTTCTAGGATTTATCTAATGCGAAAATTCATTTAATTTTTTTTTACTTTTTTATTAAAAAAAAATTATTATTATTTTGCAGGTAAAGAGGAGTGTTTGAATCATGGGGCAAGGAGTTTGAATATTTGAGGGATTGATATGTTTATTATTGATATGTTTAGTATTGATATGTTTATTATTGATATGTTTAGTATTGATATGTTTAGTATTGATATGTTTAGTATTGATATGTTTATTATTGATATGTTTATTATTGATATGTTTAATATTGATACATTATTATTGATATGTTTATTATTGATATGTTTGTATACTCAATACAATACGTTTTGTGAGCACGCTTTTCATTACTGAACGGTGGAGTAATGGATAGGATTGAGGAATCGGAGAGCCGAGTTCGAATTCCAGTCGAATTCATTACATTCACTTATGTGCTAATACCATTGGGAAACGTATAAATCCTCTTCTCCTCTCAACTATGGGCAAATAGCCTTGGATAGCATCTGGTCTACCGCAGGAAGAAATGGCAACCTACTGCGCTAAAAAAATCTGCCTCATCAGCCATGTATCGAAAGATACATGATCGTCTACGCGTGTATCACACATAGGACGTAACTGATTGATATCACAGCGGTCGGCAACCTTTTTCTGACTATTTTTTAAAATCATTGTGTGCCGTACGTATTTTTATACAAGTCGTGGTCAATATACCTGTTCTACAATATATTTTATATAGTAATATATACAATAATATGTAAACCACATTAATAGAAATTGTTTTCAAAGTTTTTTTTAAAGTTTTTTATTATTAATTATAATTAATTTATCCAGCGAGTGAGCAGTCTTGAAACAGTTAAATATCTCCTTTGCATTGTAGTTATTGGTGATTTTCTAAGCGCAGCTTAGATGTGGCACAAGGCCGAAAGTATGGGGTACCCAGTGAGGATCGAACTCACTACTCAGTCGTAGAAAGTAAATCTTTCTAACCACTACTAGGTTGTAGTTATTGGTTCGGACTTCGTGGGGTCATTTGCAGCTGGGTGCCACTGGCAATTGATTGGCGTGCTACGAGTGGCACGCGTGTTATATTTTGCCGACCCCTGGTATAGCATGTCTGAAATTATATTTTATCATGTGCCGTTCGTTTTTCTGATCATAATAACTGGGATCGAATCTCATCATCGTCTATTGATCAGGAAGGTGTTTTCTTGATGTTATCGTCTGGATGGTCAACCCCAGCGTGCCGAAACTTTTGAAATATTTTTCTGATTGAAATTAAGCAGACGGAGTTATACCGGAGATCAACCATGGCTGTGCTAACATAAAGTCACAAGTCATGACCGAGCGTCATCCCGTTGCTAGAATTGCTGATTATGACAGATAGTACTTGGTCTCTCTCTTTCTCTGTCTCTCTCAGAAACCGTAACTGCGGTCCGCTTATAAACAGAAATCTGTCGGAGGAGATGTCTGCCTGAGGGATTGACTAGCCAACCTACCTGACGGATGCTCGGAAATGGAGTCATATATATATATATATATATATATATATATATATATATATATATATATCAAATATGTGGTGCAGTTCAATTTATATTACAATGAATCATTCATACAAAAAGTAGATTAGTAAAGTTAATGATATAAAATGGCGAAATCCCTTCGCAAACAAAATTTTAAAGCTGCATTAACCTACAAATCACTCGATGAATGTTATGATCCTTGTTTTTTTTTTTAAATTATAAGCTGTATAAGGTCTTTCTTTAATACGCAAGTACTTTCATCTGTACATTCAGTCATCTTCAGGCATGGAAATTATTTTGTTTTTGGCAAAATTCAGGTATGATCAGGTTTTATCGGAAAAGACTTTTGGTATGATCAGGCGGTATAGGAAAAAAATTGGTATGTGCGTGGGGGTCTTACGATAACGATTGGTTGAAATCAAGGTAGCGTGAGTGGTTGAGCTCCTAAGTTTTTTTAAATTTAAAAGCCCTGCATGCTATTTTGTAATTTTCTTTATACATGCATTGAAAATTTATAATACTACTGTTTATGGTCTAATTCAACTCTGAGAAATAACTCTTATATATATATATATATATATATATATATATATATATATATATATCAAGAAAAATTCATAAATTTCAAGCAGTTTGTGTTGAAAGTGCGATACAAGAAAAAATGGTTAAGTCGAAATATAATTTACTACTCCCATTCCCCCCAAAAAATCATCGTGTATATATATATATATATATATATATATATATATATATATATATATATATATATATGCATGTTTCATTAAAAACGACAGACAAGATACGACGGTTAAGCCCGCGTGTGTGTGTATGTGTGAAAAATTTCAGATAAAATATATATAAGGGCAATATGAATAAAAGCAAGAGGAAAACTTTGCGACGTACTTAGAAACTCCAGATGATACGTGCCAGCAATATTCAAAGCATGGACGAATGGTAGACTTATAAACATATAAGATAGATTCGGGCGCGAAAAATTTGTCTAGCACTACTCAGTGAACCAACTTTCCTCGCAGCTGACCGAGCAATTGACTCCAATCCAGTAAGTTAGCATCAGCCATGTTGTCTGAAGGGTTCTATCGGACGACGTGTTAATAGACTTAAATATTTTGATTTGAAACATATGTGGATACACGTTTTGCCGAGACGTAGGAATATGTTTATGCAAAAAAAAAAAAAAAGAAGCAAATTTTAACACGCGGCAATGGCATAGTCAAAATATTGACGTGGAGAACGCAAATAAATTTTACCAACGCCTAGCGCGTTCAAATGAAATTGGCTTGAATATAAAGACGTTAGAGACGGAGGGTGGGAAGAATGGATTATGCATAAACTACAAGAACACAGAATGCATGGTCATCAGTAAAAGGATGCACTCGAAATGCGATATGCAGGTCTGGATCACTGGAATCAAGCAGACGCAGAAGTTTATATATGTGGGAAGCGTTCCCACAAAGGACGGTAAATGCGATACTGTGATCCGTAGACATATTGGGGGCGCCTCGGCGTGGTGTAATGGTTAGCAAGCTGGTCTTGTTAAAACTGTTACAACTGAATAGTGAGTTCGATCCTCACTGGGTGCCCCATACTTTCGGCCATGTGCCACATCTAAGCCTCGCTTAGAAAATCAATATTGGGATGGCCAGTGACGTATTCCAAAAGCTGGGCAGAGAATTGCGAGACAAAAGGATTTCTTTGGTAACGAAGGAAATAATACTGAGCTGTTACGTGACATCTGTCTTTCTTTACAGCAGGGAATGTTGGACGATTTCCTCATAGATGAAGAAGAGACTCGAGGCGACAGAGATGTGGGTCTACAGAAGGATGCTAAGGATATCATAATAGTAATAATCTTGTTATAATAATAATAACGAAGAAAAGAATACTGAGCTGTTACGTGACATCTGTTCTTCTTTACGGCAGCGAATGTTGAACGATTTCCTCAAAGATAAAGAAGAGACTCGAGGCGACCGAGATGTGGTTCTACAGAAGGATGCTGAGGATATCATGGACCGAGCGTATGAGCAACGATGAGGTCTTAGAGAGGATGAAAACAAGGTGGAGGCTCATACATCAGGAAGATCCTGCTGAAGTTCATGGGAGACATAATCAGAAAGAAGGGCCTGGAGAATCTGATACACACGGGTCGAATAGAGGGAAAGAGAGACAAGGGAAAACAACGCATGACATAACTAGCGGCTTTAAGCAAGTGGATGACAGAACGTGGTTTGGGGGAGGAGGCAGAGGGAAGGAACTTGTTGAGAGCTGCAAGGGATAGAGGGAGGTGGAGAGCCATGATCGCCTACTTCCTGAAAGGACACGGCACACAGAAAGAACAGTAAGTTTTTACTTCAACTGACACACAGGGGGGCTTCCGACTCGTCTTCATCGTCCATCATGTATCTAACCTTCTTTCATTTACCCGCATCCGGGCATTGCAATCAATGGTGTCGGTATGACTCAGCAGTTGTTCATTGTTTCTCTCGAAATACTTCGTTCGGCGAATTCTTTTGTGTACCTCCGGCCTTTTTTTTTTAAAGAGGACTTTTGGCATCATATACATTTAATCAGATAACAGACGTGTTTTCTTGGAATTGTATTGATTTCCCTCTGTCGAATTCACACACATTTAATTTCAACTTGAGCCCAAGAAATCATAAGAAAAAAAAAAGAAGAAGAAAGTTCGCTTTAAGCAAGCGAAAGTGCAGACATTGCCAATTCATTCCTAATGAAATGGTTCATTCGCCAAATCTTCTGAACTGTGTTTTCGTAACATATTCCTCGGCGTTTCTTTCTTTTGTTTCGACACGTCGGGGCTTACGGCAACATCCTGTCGAAACACCGATTCTCGTAGGATCACCGAAGTTAAGCAACGCCGTGTCTTTTCACTGCCTTGAGGAGTGACCGCTTGGGAATACCAGGTGCCGTAAGCTTGGATGCACGGCTTGTAATACGTACGTCCATATTGAAACATTGAAACATTGGTTTGAGGAGTGACCGCTTGGGAATACCAGGTGCCGTATGATCACCAGAGTTAAGCAACGCCGTGTCTGTTCACTGCCTTGAGGAGTGACCGCTTGGGAATACCAGGTACCGTAAGCTTGGATGCATGGCTTGTAATACGTACGCCCATATCACGTTGAAACATTGGTTCTCCTATGATCACCAGAGTTAAGCAACGTCGTGTCCGTTCACTGCCTAGAGAGGTGACCGCTTGGGAATAACGGGTCCTGCAAGCTTGGATGCGCGGGTGGTAAGGCTTACGGCCATATTACGTTGAAACACCAATTCTCGTATGATCGCCGAAGTTAAGCAACGCTGTGTCTGTTCACTGCCTAAAGGGGTGACCGCTTGGGAATACCAGATGCCGTAAACTTGGACCCTCGGGTGATAATGCTTACGGCCATATCACGTTGAAACACCAATTCTCGTATGATCGCCGAAGTTAAGCAACATCGAGTCTGGTCCGTTACTAGAAGGGTGACCACTTGGGAATACCAGATGCAGCTAGCTTGGATGTGCGAGTAGTAAGGTTTACGGCCATATAACGTTGAAGCACAGGTTCTTGTATGATAACCGAAGTTAAGCAACGTCGAGATTGGTCAGTTATGAGATGGGTGACCGGTTGAGAATACCAGGTGCTGTTAGCTTGGATGTGCAGATGGTTCAGTTGACGGCCATATCACGTTGAAAAACCGGTTCTCGTATGATCATCGAAGTTAAGCAACGTCGACCCTTGTCAGTGTCTAGATGAGTGACTGGTTGAGAATAGTAGATGCTGTAAACTTGGATGTGCGGTGTTGTAATGGATATTAGCTCGGAATTGGAAATCGGAGAGCCGTGTTCAAATTACAGTTGTGTTCGTTATATTTACTTACGTGCAAATACACTTGGGAAAGGTGTGAATCTACCACTTTAGGGTCTTCCCCAGCTATGGATTAATTAGTCGGACTTGTACCAAGAGATCATTATTATCTTTAAAATTATTTTCTGGATTTAAATAACCTGCAAGACGTAAAAGAATCGTCAATCAATCGGCCAGTCGATATTTTACGTTCTTCTACGAACCTGACAAGAATTTTTTAGTTTGGAAACCTCCATAGGTTTATTTAACACAGTCGTTCGTTCTTTCTTTCGGCATCCGCCCGTCTCGCGAGTAGCGCGTGCCGATGTCTTACGACGTCGCTGGAGTGTCCTCTACAGTGCGCTATGAGCCTGGGCGGGATATATGGAGAACTAGGGCTGTCCGGACGTCTAGTTCCCCCTCTCGGCCTTGCTAGCAGAGTCCAAAGGAGAGGATAAACCAATACAGTTTGGTACCAGCGTGGCTGCAGGAGTTGCTGAAAGGTAGCACAAAGTGCCGTCCATCCGCCTTAGGGGCTCCACTCCGTGTTTGAATTCAGAGTTGTCCTTCTCCTAGACCAGTTGCCATCCAAGGCTATAGAACCCAGTCTGTCCTGCTATTTACCCATAGCTGGACGGAGAATAATCTGCAAGACCTAAAAGAAAAGTCAATCAATCCGCCAGTCGATATTTTACATCCTTCTACGAACCTGACAAGATTTTTTTTAGTTTGGAATCCCTCCATCGGTTTATTGAATATAGTCGTTCGTTCGTTCGTTCGGCATCCTTCCGTTTCGGGAGACGATGGAGTAGCGCGTGCCGATGTCTTACGACTTTGCTGGAGTGTCCTCTATAGTGCGTTACGAGCCTGGGCGGGATATATAGGGAACTAGGGCTGCCCGGATGTCTAGTTCCCGCTCTCGGACTTCTTGCTAGCAGAGTCCAAAGGAAAGGATAAACCAATACAGTTTGGTACCAGCGCAGCTGCAGGAGTTGCCGGAAGGTAGCACAAAATGCTTTCCATTCGCCTTAGGGGATCCACTCCGGATTTGTGCAGGGTTTACTCCTTGGCTTTTTCTTCTCTCGAAGATTTCAACAAGGCAGTGGAGCTATTTAACCCATAGCTGGGGTTTATTTCATGGGCAGCAGGGCATGTCCACACACCGCTGCGCCTATATGCCGCATGTTAAGTAGGCCATACTTCTCCCCCGTCCCCAGTAGTTTAGCCCGCGTCCGCAAGGAGCTTATTTGCCATGTGTCGCCAAGAGGAGGCACTACATAGGGATTTCTGATGGAGAGGCTATATACTAGCAGGGGAAGACCCGACTCCCCTTTTCGTATTGCTGCTAGCCAGCAGCGGTACCTGAAAGCAACAAGAAAGCACTAGCCCTACAGGCGACCACACTAGACGCATGACAACAGTCGTTGCGACACACTTAATACAGTAAGCAAAAATAGATGGGAAGACTATGTTGCGCCGATTTCAATTCAAGTTTTGAGGGCAAATGGGACGGAGAATGGAGTAAATTGAGGAGTTAGGATAGGTAACAATAGCACAAAAATTATTAAGAGCTAGAAAGGACAGAAAATTGTGGACAGACATTGACACCAACGCCCTGAAGAGACACAGTACGTATAATAAAAAAAATCGGCATAGTTTAATGGTGTGCCTAGCTAAATATTAGGTTGGTGCAAAAATAATGATGTAATAATGTCGTTTTTTGAGGTTAAAATACCTCAAAAACGACATTATTACGTCATTATTTGTGCACCAACCTAATAAAAGAAATATGGACAGAAGTAACAGCATGAGAAACACATGATGAAATTCGGAAACACACACACACACACACACATATATATATATATATATATATATATATATATATATATATATATATTATCTTGAGGATGAAATGGAACTAATGTTTTAATTTAATTACAAAATTAAATTCGGGGCTTTTAGCTTCCATTTTTGAAACATGGTCATTACTGTGTATCGAAAAAAAACATATTTTAAATCAGTTAATTTATAATATTAATGCTCTGTAAATTTACATTGAGCACTATTTTGTAAAAATAAAAATATCAATAAGAACACCAGATTATGTATCTTACTGTTCTTTCTTTATATATATATATATATATATATATATATATATATATATATATATATATAAAGAAATATAGTCTTAAGGTGTGCTATATTTATGGAATAAAGTGCTCAATATCAGAGATAGAGCGTGTGTAAATATAAAAGTGAACATAGAAGTCATCAGACAAGCCTGAAAGATAAGTTGATTCTCTTGGTTTGATCTGTTTTTATATATGTATGTATTCGCTCGCGCCTTATATTCTTCAATGGTCCCCTTCCCCTTTGTTAAATGAATTTTCCTTTTTTCTTCGTTCTTTACCTGTTTATATATTTATAAATAAATGTTTTATTTTGAAATCCATCGTCTTGTGTCTGTTCTTCGTTGACTCCCCTTGTGTTGCTTCAATTTCTGAGTGAAGACCGAGAAAAGATCCCACGTTTTTTTTTTTTTTAACCCGTGGTTCATCTATATGCTACAAGTTCGTAATATATATATATATATATATATATATATATATATATAGATGTGAAGCGATCGTCAGACAAACTGACGATCGCTAAAGCGTGAAACCCAGGGTCACAAACTCTATCCAACTAAATATGTTAGCTCTATCTCTGATATTGAGCGCTTTCTAATAAGTACCGCGTATATAATATATAAATAATTATACATATATATATTTATTTATATTTATATACACTTTTCACACACACACACACACACACACACACATATACACACACATATATATATATATATATATATATATATATATATATATAAATCCCTTAAAGAGCCAGGAAGACCTACTTAGGTTTCACCTAAACGAATCTTACCCTGAAGATCCGTTTGCAAGAAACCTTGGTCGGTTTTCCTGGCTCTTTAGGATTTATTTTAGTTATTCCCGCTCTGCTTAGCGTATAGAGCACTCTACGTTTTAGTCTTACTGCGCTTTTTTTTTTTTTCTTTGGACTAAAGACTTAAGGCACTGGTTGATTTATTTTGCCCTCTTCAGATGTTTTTTTAGCTCTTTTTTTATTTTCAATTTTTTCTCGGCTACCGATTCCTTTTGATATATTTACAAGTTGACGTATGTCAGTTTTTTTTCCCAAACGAGTATTACTTATATATATATATATATATATATATATATATATATATATATATATATATATATATATAGTTAAGTTACGAAAAACTTGGTAATCCGTATCGTCAAAAGTGTAAATTTTATTTCATTTTTCGTTTCACCTTTTTGGAAGTGATGTCTGATGATCCAGCGTCCTTTTAAAAGGTCTCTGGAGAAATAAACTATTACAATGGAGTATTACTTTTATATATATATATATATATATATATATATATATATATAAATGATTTGTTAAAAAGAACCCATGTTATCAATTTCACTCTGAATTCTATTTTGTCTTTCCGCGTCTTTTAGTCTAAATTGCCGGCAAGGATATTACCCAAAACTAAGCACTTTTCAAAAAGCTTGTCAGATTGAAAAAAATAAAATTAAAGCTTTCCATCGAAAATTAATTTATTTATAATCTAAGGGAAAAAAAATGGAGTGTTTATATTGTTCACGGAAGAAGAAAATAAGAAGGAGAAGAAGTCATAGAAATTAAGCCTTGAATACACTTGATAGCAAGTTTGTTTCCCCGACAACTAAATTACAAACCAGCTGGGCGTGGCACTGCATCAAAGATAAAAATCGTACCGGTAGGATTGACAAGGCTACGTAAGAAAGCAGCCCGTAGCTACCTGATTGGAAGATAAAAAGTAAAAAAAAAAAAAAAAAAAGCAATAAATAAATAAACAGTGGCTGAATGTCGCCTATTTTATAATGAACAACAGAGATCGATTTAAGAAAACTGCTAATCAACAGAAAGGGGAGATAACTTCCGTAATGTGAGGTTTTTTGTCTCATTTTCCAACACCACTTCAAAGCGAAGGAAATTGTACGGCAACAAAATACAAAAATCACACAGATTTGACGCGGACCTGTTTTTCAGCGATCATTTTAAAGATTTTTTTTTTTTTCAATGTAATGCTTGGTCTTCGTGCGGGAATTTCGCGATAGTTAGCCAGATCTTGCAACACATTTCTGCATTTAACGTCAATCCTCGATTCTTCTAGCATTAATGCTTGTGTAGAATGTTGGTGAAAAACAAATACACTACAGGCAAAAATGTTTGGAAGTGAACCCCCAAGTAAAAACAAAACACTATGAATGTATAAAAGTATATGTTTATAGTAAAATAATCAACAATAGATTTTATATTAAAATAACCAGCAATAGATTTTTATATTAAAATGATCAACAATAGATATTTATATTAAAATGATCAACAATAGATTTTATATTAAAATAACCAGCAGTAGATATTTATATTAAAATGATCAACAATAGATTTTATATTAAAATGATCAACAATAGATAATTATATTAAAATGATCAACAATAGATTTTATATTAAAATAATCAGCAATAGATTTTATATTAAAATGATCAACAATAGATTTTATATTAAAATGATCAACAATTATTTATATTAAAATAACCAA